GGCGGGGAGAAGCAAGTAGGACATGCAGGGCCCAGGAGAACACTGTGTGGGGTGCAAAAGCCCCTTTCAGCCTGTGAAGAACCAGCTTGGTGTGAATAATAGTTGTGCACACACAGCTGGTTCAACTTAGCAAACTGTAGCCCTCTTCTATTTCTTTCTTTTTTGTGAAAGATTTATTTATTGATGCATACAGAACTGGGGTACAGGCCAGAGGTGCGGGGGGATGGTGAGAGGATTGACCAGAGAGAGAGTGGGGAGTAGAACAGGCAGACTGATGAGGCACACTGGTGAGGGGAGCAGCGGGCGGGACAGGAGAGGTCTGCCGAGCCACATGAGTCAGCTCCGGGGCTGGGGATCGAACTTGTGCTGCAGTGGCTGTGATAGCTTCATAGTGCTGTGCCTTAACCCATTACACCCCGAGGGAGAGCCCTCCTCTCCAATTTTTTGGTTTAGTTCTACTTCTTAGGACTTGCAGCCTCCCATACCAAGACAGGGAGGCGAAGGACCACTGATGGAGTACCCAGATGCAGCAAGGCATTTCATTTATATCCTCACATCTGTTCTCCCCACAGGCTGCATGTACATGGCTCTTGGAAAGTACGTGAAGACTCAGTTCAGAGAGCCACTGGGGCCCACCTGAGGTGACCCAGGTAGTAACTGACAGAGACGCTGTCGGACCACCAATCTGCGTGATTCTAGAAGCCATGCTGTCTCCACCTGCCCCAGGAGCTTCCTGTCCCTGTCAGTTTGGAGCCCAGGACCATTATCTCACGCCTTTCCCAGCATCTTTGAAAATTTCCCTTCACTGGTTTTGCCCTTCACGGCCTTCAGCTGCTACCAGGAAGCCTTAAAAGTCAGCAAGCACTCAAACCTTACCCACATCGATTACATGGTATTTGATTCCCCAAATCAGCTTTACCTTAAGCCAACATTAATTCTTTAAACCATCAGCCATATAACATCACAAGTCAACAAGCCCTAAAGGATGAGTGTCCTTCGCTCCTTCTGGAACGGTAAAGATGGGACTTGCAGCTCCTGTAATGAACATCTGGAAATGCACCCAATATTTTTTCCATGAAGAAGTTAATTTCTCAACAAAGAAAAGGAAATGCCCAGTGCCGGGAAAGCAGGCCAAACTGGGCAGGTACACGAGGGGTCAGCTGGGGGCTGGGGTTTTAAAGCCCACATGGGTCCAGAAGAGAGAAGACCTTGGAATCCACCAGATGAGAAACTGGAAAAGATACTCTTGGACAGAAGGCTAGAAACCTTCAAGGGAAATCTGGAAAAATCCACTCATCAACACAGACCCTCGCCAAAGAGGCTTGTCTGCCTCTCTGCCATCTGAGTGAGAAAAACTTGTCTTGGATATGGGTAACTATAGGCCTGTGCTAGACTAGGTTTGGGGTTCAAGTGCATATCATCAGCAAGGTCTGGAGACAGCCTCTGTCCCCAAGAAAATAAGACATTGGTCTCAGGCCAGTAAACCCTTGGATATCTGATAATACCAAGTACAAAACTACTGTAAAGAGGCATGTCCTGAAATGGACCCGATAAATGTCCCAAAGAGCAGCCTCATTGAAGACGGACTCATGACTCAAAAGTAGTAAACACTGCCCCCCCCAGTTTGGTCGAAAGCACCTTTTTCATATAAGTCAGTCACTGAAACCAAACATTTGAACTTAGACTCAAGTCTACTGGTCACTATATGTAAAGTCACGAAGAAAGATTTTTTTTTAAGATTTATTTATTTATGCATTAGAACTGGGGTACAGGCCAGAGGTACGGGGCAGTGAGAGGCTTCACCAGAGACAGAGTGGGGAGCAGAACAGGCAGATCGATAAAGTACACGGCTGAGGGGAACCGCGGGCAGGTCAGGAGAGGTCTGTTGCACCATGTGGATCAGCTCTGGAGCCGGGGATTGAACTCTCACTGAAGTGGCTCCAGCTAGCTTGCAGTGCTGCGTCCCAACCTGTTGCACCACCAAGGAGGGCCCGAAGCAAGATTTTTTTTTTATATAAAAGTTTGTTTTTACATCATTTTGTACATTCTTTTTTTCATCTCAGTTGTAATCCCCATGGGTTTCCCATCACCGAGTCACCCATGTGCCATCACCATAGTCCTGTGCACTTCCCTTCCCTGTTTTTGATCCCATTCCCCACTCCACCCCCGCAAAATGTCTGGTATATGGTTGTTCATTATTTTTGTTATTTTCTCGCCTGGTCCATTATACTCCTGCTATGA